CCCCCCCCCCCCCCGCCGGGGGGAGGGCGGTTAAGGGGGAAAAGAGACAAGTGGTTAGGGGTGAGCCGACAAAGCACAGCAAGGCTGCGTGCTGGGTCTCCGGAAAAAGCTTGTCTACTGCTTGCAAGGATTGCCCCTGCGGCGGTGGTTGACTTACTAGCCTGGCAATGGAGAGTCTGCCAATTTAACCCCCACGATCCTTTTAGGGCTAGGCATGCTCGTTCACGAAGTCGGGGGCTTAAGAAAAGGATACGCCTCGAGAAATCGGCAGGGCTCTCTCGTCTATCGCTGTCAAAAACAGCTCTTGAACGAACTGTCGGACAAATCCCGTACAAGATATAACGGTCTGGACGAGAAAGCGTTTGAGTGTTTATTTAAAATAGGTAGAATGTTCTTCCCTCCTCTTCTCTAACCTTATGTTTGGGGACGGTCAATTTCTACAATCTCCTGGAAACCGAGAGGGGAGATACCCTAACCCGGCTTTTTGGGATTTGTAGATTCGGTTTATGCCTCCGCGTAGTTTCCGCTTCTGGTCACATGACTGGGGTAAACCCGCCACACCTTCATCTCCCGCGACTCCTTCGCGGTCCGCAGACCGACACGTCACTCCTCGGCTCTCAACCAAACTGCTCCGAGCACGTTCTTTCCGCGCTCTCGCTCTCTTGAGCGGGTCTATCACAGCCCTACAGGAGCACGAAGTCCCGCCCCCTGACGGCTGAGTGATATCTGTATTGCCCAGTTAAGAAGTAGGAGCGCACCTTTGTCCCCGCCTCCAGCCCTGACAGACAGTTCCACAATCCTATCGCTCTCTCGAAGTGGCGTATCGAGCCTTGGCCAGCCAATGGGGAGCGGCCCAGGAGGCGGACCAGGCCGCTGCCAGGGTTGGGTGCGCCGCTGAACGGATGGCAGAGGGAGCCCAGCAGATTCCTGAGGAACGCTGGCCAGGTGAGAAGGCCTTAGGCTATAACTTGAGAATTAGCTGCAGGTGCAGTCCAGGTTGTTGGTGGGGTTGGACGAAGTGCTGGAGGTGGGGCTTTAATGGCGGCGGGTGGGGTGTGGGAAGCGGGGTCTAGGGCTTTGCAGAGGAGGGGGCGTGGGGTGTGGGGTGGAGACGTCCTGGGATGGAAGGATGTGAAGGTTCGGGATGGGGCGTGCGCTTAGGCCTGGAGGGCGTGGGAAAGATTGGATCCTGCGACTAGTTCTGGAGGGGAGGGTGCTCAGGATGCTGAGGTGGTGGGGTGTCCCGCGGTGGGTAGTGTCAGAGGTGTTATATGCAGGTGGGAGGCAGGGAGTTGGGACCTGCTAGAGTGACCAGAAGAAGGGGGTGGGATGGGGGAGAAAAGGAGTGTGAGCAGGTGTGAGAGTGGGGGCTAACGGGGATGGGGAAGTTTCCGTCTTGGAAAACTAGAAGGAGGATGGGATTCGGATGCCACAGCTCGCAGGCACCGTTGAGGAGGAGACCCGATGCTAAGTGTTTAAAGTGAAGTGTCTTTTGCCCTTATTTGCTTTAGCGATGTGCTCAAATGACCAGAGAGCACACTAGGAAAACTCCCTTAAGGTCCTGCCTCAAATTACCAGTTCCTTTACTCAGCTTGCAGGTAGAGGTTCTAGTACTCTCATTTCTTCCGCTGACTCTTCCAGGTGTGTGGCTCATACCAACTCGTAGTGGTGTTATGTTTTTCTGTTTCAGGCATTCGAGAAAAACAAGTACAAACTTGAGCGATGTGGCGGGATTATGGACTTCCTGGAGTTAGGTGTTTATTCTTGATTGCAAGATGAGGTTTTCCTTTGGGGTTGTAATTAAAAACACATGCAAAACTGCCCCTCTGGGCCAGTTACTTATGGAAAAGATGTTGTCGGAGCTAGGAGTGTATGGTTCTTTATGCCTTCCACCTAGTCTGGTGTTTTGGTTTTTTTTCCCCCTCTTTTTTCCTCCAATAATACTGAGAAAAAGATCAGGAGGCATGAAGGTTCCTTTTTCTCTCCCTGCAGTCTTGAACAGTGTTGCATATCTTTTATTACTGTATTCTTTATAACTTAGCCCTTGATGAGCTTATGGTTTAAGAAGGCAGCACTTTCTTAAACAGAAATAGCTAACCTACTTCCTTCAACATTTTATTTTAATCTAGCCCCCCCCCCTCCCCGCCGAGCTTTTCTTGTTTCAGTAGGAAATTTTATTTTCTTTTCCCTCTAGATTGTCATCTGGTTCTATGAGCTATCTCTGAGATCAGTGGCTTAAATCGGCAGTGTCAATTACAGGCCTATCTTGAGATAGGCAACTGGAAGCGTCTATAGATCCGAGCAGTAGTTGCATTGTGATACATGGGATTGAAAGTGCAGTGATTTGTGTATGTGTTTCTCTCCCTCTTGAGTGCATCACTGTCTGTGTGTTAGTCATCAGTCATGCTCTTTAGCTGGCCCTGCAACACCATTAGGATTTGGAACAAAAAGAAGCTCGTGGCCATTCAGTTGCTGCTGAAATGTAGGGCCGTATATTGGGCATATTCAGTCATAGTTTGATTTCTACTTTTCACCTCTCCATTTAGTATTCATTTCCCCATTTCCTGCTTTCTTTCATACATTCCTGCTTTTTCTTGAGTGCTCTTTTATTCTCTGTTTCTTCTTTTTCTCTATTTCCAATCTTTTCTATTTTCTTTGCATCTCTTCACCCAACTGCCTTTTTCTATTCCTGTGTTTGCTCTTTACTCCTGCTGTACCACGCTATTGCGAGTTGTACTTGTTATGTATTATGTACTTGTTAGCTGTGAAGGAGTAAGAAGCAGAATTATGGTGATAGAGTCTAATCACTCCTTTTGAGTCTTGACACATGGCCCTGACTTATGCCTACTTCCTTGCCAGTCGGTCAGACTTCAGGCAAGGCTAGGGTGTTAGTATTGGCTCGGGTGTCAAGTATTAGCTCTGACCCTCTCCGTGTGTTCGTTGGCATGTGTCTCTTTTATGGTTTTTTTGCCGCCATAAAACATGAAAGTGAATTAGATAAGTTAGAAGTGTTTGATGTCCTACAGTCTTGACTTTTCCTTTTCAGCTATTTGAGTGTCATCTGCTGCCTCCCATTGATGTCAAGATGACTAAGCTGGGATTTTTGCGGTTGTCCTATGAGAAGCAGGACACACTACTGAAGCTTCTCATTCTGTCGATGGCTGCTGTGTTATGTGAGTGTGCATGTGGACCTCTCCTTGCGGGTGGAAAGGAGAAAAAAATCAAGAATGGTTTACTTAAATGTCTTGTTCTTTTCAGTAGATTGTAATGTGTTGTTTTTGCTCTTATCCATCAGTATGATTTTTTTTTTCTTTTTAAAAAAAATTTTTTTTTTCAACGTTTATTTTTGGGACAGAGAGAGACAGAGCATGAACGGGGGAGGGGCAGAGAGAGAGGGAGACACAGAATTGGAAACAGGCTCCAGGCTCTGAGCCATCAGCCCAGAGCCTGACGCGGGGCTCGAACTCACGGACCGTGAGATCGTGACCTGGCTGAAGCCGGACGCTTAACCGACTGTGCCACCCAGGCGCCCCTCCATCAGTATGATTTTATGAAGACAAAAGAAACACAAGGTTATAAAAGTCAGGGCTAGAGATCATCTGGGAAAGAATGGGAAGCATGCTGTACTAGTTGCCTACTTTAGTATTTCTGAAAATCTCTTCAGAACTTACTGTTTGTTTGGTTTTGTTTTTTTTGTTTTGTTTGGTTTTGTTTTTTTAGATTTTCTAGCTCTTTGTGAGTCATAAATATAGTCTTGATTTTCCTTACCCCCCTTAGTTTGTTCCAGAATAAAAGTTAGTTCTGGGGAGGGGAAGTCAACGATTAAAAAAGATGACCATGTAAGTGGAGTGCAGTATTAGTAGGTGAATGCATTGTTATAGGTCTTGAAAGTTAAATGTGTCCTACCTGTGTGGAAAATGTAGGTGTCATTGTCAGGGGAGAGTGAACTTCTTTCGTTTCTTCTGTGTGGGAGAAATGGGTAAATACTTTATTCAGGGATTTTTTTTTTTTTAAAGTGAATTCTACCCCAAGATAGAACTCAGGCTTGAACTCAGGACCCCAAGATCAAGAGTCGCATGGTGTACTGACTGAGCCAGGCAGGCACCCCTATTCAGGGATCATTTTACATTTCCTGTGACTTCTGTGCTGTGCTATTATCTCTATAATACTACAGTCCACTAGTATTTTTCATGGCACACTACCATTAAGGTATTAACTCTCTGATTTTTGCAGCATTCTCTACTCGTCTCTTTGCTGTCCTGAGATTTGAAAGTGTCATCCATGAGTTTGACCCGTGAGTACTTTTGCTTGATCTGGTATTTGCTTTGGGAAGCGTTCAAGTCAATGGATTTCCAAGTGAAATTCTAATCAGCTCTCAGTGATGGGATTGTGCTTCCTATATATTTAGGGGGGAAAACCCTCAAGTTTTCCAACAGAGATCATTGCTTTCTTTTGAGACATTTCTGTTGGAATTAACCAAGTAAATCTCTCAAACTCATAGAAAATATGAGAAGCATTGCTGGTGTGCCTGCCTGTTAAGACCGGGCCAGGCTAGGAGAAGTCTGTTTGCTCAGCTTATTGAACAATCAGTGATGCACTTTGAGGAAAAGGGGCCTGTGTGAGGCTCAGAAGAAAATCACAAGTCATGAACTTGTGATTTAATGACTGTTTAACAATTTGTATGATAGAAATTGGATCTACTGGTTAAGTTCTAAGACATTGGGGAACATTTTAAGCCATGAATTTGATTAGGGATTTTGTTTATTAGATAAGAAAAGGTATAGGTGAGTATTCATTTTGTTTCAAGCACTGTTTTGCAGATCATCTCTAAATCCTTAACAACCCTATTAGATGGAGGTCCTATTTTCTCCTTTATATAAATGAGGAGACTAGGCCTGGGAGCGGCTATTCAAGTTACACATTTGGAGGAGCCAAGATTTGAATCTAGGTTTATCTGTCTCTGGATACTGGGGACATTTTGTTGTATTGCCTAAAGTAAAGCCAGAATCATAGGTTCTTCAAGCATCATTAATATTTTAAACATAGCATATTTCAGTTTATGGAGCATTGATTCAAAAGTTGATTTGCAAATTTGATATTTTGTGTAGGTGTATGAAAGCCCTTTGGAGGCATACAAATATTTTCTTTGGGGTCTCTCAAATCAATTTATATTTTTTTCTCATGAATGAGGAAACTTAATCTTTTTGTTTCTTGATCATCAGTCTGTTAAGGCTTCTTCTCAGATTCTCTAGATGAACAAACATTAAGGTGAGATGGTCAGGGAAAGCAAGACTATCTGGTCTGTAGTCATAGGCCTGGAAAGGACTGAAGAGATCTTGTGATTTGATGCTTCCATTTGCAGAGCAGGAAACTAAGGGATTGTGACCCCAGTCAGACCTTTTTCCACTAACTTAGACTTCCTCTGCCTCACCTTCCCTTCCCTTCCCTTAGGTAAAGGACAGAGTTTTCACACATGTTGACTGCCTGCTACCCTCCTTTCTGTTGTTTCTCTGACAGTTACCAAAATAACGTTCAACAGCAACAAACAGATGGGTAGAGATTTCTGCCATCTGCTACTTCTGCTCACTTCAGCTGCTAAAACTTGACTGACCAAGGAGGAAATAGGGTTAGAGGGATGGCCAGGAGAGGTGGTTAGTCATGATTGCCTTTAGTAATTAAAAATTTGGTTTATTTATATTTTTTCCTTTTCTTTTTTTCTTATTTCTTTCTACTTTTTTAAATTAAGTTTATACTTGACTGTAGTTGATATGTAATGTTACATAGTTTCAGGTGTACAGTACAGTGATTGGACAAGTTTGCAGTGTTCAGCATAAGTGTGGCTACCATCTGTCGCCATACAATGTTATTACAATATCATTGACTATATTCCCTATGCTGTGCCTTTTATTCCTGTGACTTATTCATCCCATAATTGGCAACCCATTATCTCCCACTCTTCTTCATCCATTTAGCCCATCCCCCCAACCTCTACTGCTCTGGTAGCCATCATATTCTTCTCTGTATTTGCAGGCCTGATTCTGCTTTATGTTTGTTTGTTTGTTTGTTTTGGATTCCACATGTGAGCGAAATCATATATTTGTTTTTCTCAATCTGACTTATTTCATTTAGCATAATACCCTCTAGGTCCATCCATGTTGTTGCAAATGGCATGATTTCATCCTTTTTTATGGCTGCATAATATTCCATTGTGTGTGTGTATGTGTGTGTGTGTGTGTGTGTGTGTGTGTGTGTGTGTGTACCATATCATCCTTATCCATTCGTCTGTCGATGGACTTGTAGGTTGCTTCTGTATCTTGGCTACTGTAGATAATGCTGCAGTAAACATAGCGGTGCATATATCTTTTCAAATTCATATTTTCATTTTCTTTAGGTAAACACCCAGGAGAGGAATTACTAGATCATATAGTATTTGTTTTTAATTTTTTGAGGAGCCTTTGTACTGTTTTCCACAGTGGCTGTACCAATTTACATTACCACCAGCAGTGCATGAGGGTTACTTTTATTCCACATCCTCCTCAACACTTGTTATTTCTTGTCTTTTTGATTTTAGCTATTCTGAGAAGTGTACGGTGATATCTCATTGTGGTTTTGCTTTGCATTTCCCTGATGATGAGTGATGTTGAGCATCTTTTCATGAGTCTGTTAGTCATTCTCTCAAGTTTCTTATTTAAAAAGAAATAAGAAAGTGTTACATAGCTTGGACCTAAAGAACTGTGTCTTCCCATGTATGACTCTTAAGCATTTTATGTCACATTTTTTTTTAAAGATTTTATTTTTAAGTAATCTCTGCATCCAACATAGGGTTCGAACTTACAACCCTGAGATGAGTCGAATGCTCTACTGACTGAGCCAGCCAGGTGCTCCTTAAATATTTTTATACTATTTGTATTTTTATGCTATTATGTAGGTGGCATTCAGAACTATTTTAAACAACATGAGTAGAATTTGTTGTTAAGTTTAAACACTCATTAAGAAGTTTGTGTTACTGAGTGGATTAAACTGTGACATGCATATAGTGTTACACCAACATCTCTAGAGATGCTCATCACTTGAAGTTATCCGTGTGTCCTTCTGTGTGCTATTGAAATCTTTGTATGTTCCTTTTTCTTGAAAAGAGCCAGATTTATTGATGTCCACATCTCAGCTGTTCTGTCTGTGGGTGCTTGAATTCTCTGACTGGTGCTAATACCTACTAATTGCCAGGCTGGTGAAGTATCCTACTTGAGTTAGGCTCCAGTTGCATTTCCTTTCAAGACAAGCAATGCTTTAGTTGAGACGTGTGGAGCTAGAAATGAGGGGACATATGGTAATGTAAAATGATTTTCATAGTTGGCATAATTTTTGGTACCTAACTGATTTGTAATCATACAGATTGATGTAATGATCAGTTCCTCGATGGTGTGACCTGAGGAACAAGATTCTCTGCAAATTGGTATAGCTATTTGAGTTTGAAGAGGAGGAGATACAGATCATTTCTTTCTTGCTATAGGTACTTTAATTATCGGACTACCCGGTTCCTGGCTGAGGAGGGATTTTATAAATTTCATAATTGGTTTGATGACCGAGCCTGGTATCCTTTGGGACGAATCATTGGAGGAACAATTTATCCAGGTGAGAGGAACAGGGTTTTCTAAAGAAAAAAAAAAAAAAAAAAAAAAAAAAGTTAACAGAAATAAGGTATTTGTATGTTATAGAACAGTTTCTCTTATTTCTAATGTCTGCATTTTTTGTGACAATTATAATTTAATTCTAATTACCAGTTCCTAAAAGTGGATCTTCTGTATACAGGAGAATATGTGTGGGAGATGGGGATGGGAGGTTTTTCATAAATTCTAGACTTCGGATTGAATCCTAAGAAGAGAAATCTAATAAGCTTACTGCAGTTGCTATATTAGTGTTTCTGGTAGTTTGTCAGGACCTATGTTACGTTATCACTTGATTGATACTTTGATTCTCTTTCTCTTTCCCTTAAGTTCTTGGTCTTACCAAGATAACCTAATGGAGTTTCTTCTTCCTGTTACAGGCTTAATGATCACGTCTGCTGCAATCTACCATGTACTCCATTTTTTCCACATCACCATCGACATTCGGAATGTCTGTGTGTTCCTGGCCCCTCTCTTCTCTTCCTTCACCACCATCGTCACGTACCACCTTACCAAAGAGCTCAAGGTGAAGGATTTGGGGTGATAGGCTTGGGAATGAATGTTGTTGAACCTCTCTAGTAGATGCTAAAGGGTGGGGGTCTGATAGCCATAGAAGGGCAGGGAGCCAGAGGCTACAGATAGCTTTTGCTAGGCTGAATTACTGGGTTCACTCCAGCCCCTTTCTAGAATATGTGGTTTCTTATTATTAGCAACTGATTGTCCTATAAGAGAACATTTGAAGGTCAAATATAAATTTCTACATAAGATAAAAAAAAATGTTTAAAGTATAAAATGTGAGCTTTAGATTTTGAAATCCTCACAACCTAAGGGAGAGGAAAAATAACTATAGGAAGTATTCCAGAATGGTTCATTCTTCCTACTGGAAATGGACATTTAGCAATTATTTGTTGATTCTTTAAACATATATTTAAAAATTTTTTTTTTTGTTTTTGGAGAGTGAGCATGCATGTGCACATGCACATGCGAGCTGGAGAGGGGCAGAGGGAGAGAGAGAATCTTCAGTAGGCTCCGCACCCAGTGCAGAGCCTGATGCTGCATCTCATGACCACGAGATCATGACCTGAGCTGAAATCAAGAGTCAGGTGTTTAACTGACTGAGCCTCCCAGGTGCCCCTATTTAAAAATTATTGGGGCGCCTGCGTGGCTCAGTCAATTGGGTGTCCAACTTCGGCTCAGGTCATGATCTCACAGTTTGTGAGTTCAAGCCCTGCCAACAGCTGTGCCAACAGCTCGGAGCCTGGAGCTGCTTTTGGATTCTGTGTCTCCCTCTCTCTCTGTCCCTCCCCCACTCATGCTCTGCCTCTCTCTCTCAAAAATAAATAATAAAAAAAACATTAAAAAAATTATTAAATCACTTTTGGAGTAGATTCCATAATGGCTCTCTTTTTCTAGGGTTCTGCCTTGCTGATCTGGCTCCTTAGATGCTATTCTTAGTTTGTGGCTGTGGTGTCAGGGAGATACCTGAGAGGTGATAAACTAGTAGGAGGTTTTGGGACTCTTGAGTTTAGTTTGGAAATCTTTTCATCCTTCTCCTTGCTGCCCTTGTTCCAAATTTGATTCTTATCAACAGACAAGTCCCTACTCTTTTGGAGTGTGATTATATTTCGTTGTTTCTCTCTCCTGACCTCACAGATTGCTTTGTGATATTCCAGCTTTATTATCTAAGTTCCTGGCATCTTTAGTCCAGACAGATGATCACCTTTTGGCTTTTTAGCTTAAATAATAATTGTCTTCCTTTTGATTATCCTTGCATAGCTTTTAGAGGTGTGACTGTCCTGGCAGTGTGCAGGTATTGTTAGGGGCAGGGACTCATAAACCTGGGAATGCTCCAGCCAAACAGCCCATTCTGGGGCAGTGTCTGATGTCTGACAGCTTACATAATTTGTCTGTCCTTAGCATATATGTATTCAGTTTCAGATGTGGTATCATCCTGGGGAATTGGTTGTGAAGTCTTTAGCTTTCTCGTGCTGTGAACATTTCTAGCATTTCTAGCATCACGTCTACCTTGGAAAGTGTTGGACTGTGTTCTGGGCCCAGTATAAGCAGAAGGACTAGTGGATCCTCTCTTCTCTCTTGTGAGTGAATAGTGTTAACTTCCTGTTACCCTCTTTTCTTCCAGGATGCAGGGGCTGGGCTTCTTGCTGCTGCCATGATTGCTGTAGTTCCTGGGTACATCTCCCGATCTGTGGCTGGCTCCTATGATAATGAAGGTAAGACTTAAAATGCCAAAGATGATAAATTCATCTCATTGTTCCATAGACATTCAGAAAGTGCAGTAAAATCTGAGTTCAGATCTGATATTTAGCACTAGCAAAAATGGTATCTGGGTGAGAAGATTAGAAATGGGCTGGAAGGGACCTCAGACAAGTTTATAATCTCTCTCTGTCATCCCCTTCAGAAAGGTAATTTCCTTTTATAAGGGCTTTATCTCTTCTCTGGACTGGTAAAAGCAGAGTTAGTTTAGTGTTGAATGGTACTATTATTTTAACATTGTAATTATTTGCATTATTTTCCTAGATAAGAAAAATGGATATCGTTTTTTTTTTAAGATTTTATTTTTAAGTAATCTGTACACCCAAGGTGGGGATCGAACCCACAACCCTGAGATCAAGAGTTGCATGCTCTACCAACTGAGACAGCCAGGCATGCCGAGAAATTAATGTTCTTAAAGCTATAATGACTTTTGTTGACTGTGTCAATTCAGCCTATATTTATTGAATGTTGTTGGGAAAACACAATGTTAGGTATTATAGATAATGAATGAAATAATTTTGGCTCATATTTAAGGAATTACAGTGACCAATAATGAATAAAATTATGTTGGCCCATAATCTATTAAGGAAGATAAATACAGACCTATAACTCATAACAGGTAGGTAGTATTATGTGTCACTAGAGAAGTATGAATAAAGTACTTTGGAGTGTGAAAGGAGAGGTTAATTCAGATTTGGAGATCAGGGAAGACTTTGGAAGTAGTTGAGGTTGCACTAGGCAGTGAGGTTTGGACTTCATTAGGCATATATATTTATTTTTTATATTTATTTATTTTGAGAGAGAGCGCACGTGCGTGAGTGTAGGAGGAGCAGGCTCCATGCTGTCAGTGCAGAACCTGATATGGGGCTCGATCTCACAAACCATGAGACCATGACTGGAGCTGAAATCAAGAGTCAGATGCTCGACCAACTGAACCACCCAGGCGCCCCTCATTAGGCACATATTAAGGAGAGGGGCAGTCAGGGCATAAGGACTGGCCTGTGGTAAGATGCAGAGGGTGGATGGTGCATAATAATGTGGAATATCTTTAGGACTCTACACTAGCAAGGAATTTAGTGCCTGGAAGGAATAGTAATAATATTTGTTTTATACTAGGTATTGTTCTAAGTCCTTTAACACTTTTATGAAATAGATACTATTATGGCCTCATTTTTATAGGAACCCGAGACAATAAGAGGTAAAATAATTGCACTGTTAATGCGCAGTAGGTTTGAGATATGAATCCAGGAAGTCTGTTCCAGAGTAGTATTCTTAAATAATTACGCAAGCATGGCCTTTTATTGAATTTTTTTCTGTTCTTTCTGCAGGGATTGCCATCTTCTGCATGCTCCTCACCTACTACATGTGGATCAAAGCAGTAAAGACTGGTTCCATCTATTGGGCTGCCAAGTGTGCCCTTGCTTATTTCTACATGGTAACTCTTCACTCCTGTATTCCACGAGTGTCTTTATTGGGACTGATACAAATTGGAAATAGCTCTTGGGCTTTGAGACCGTGGATTGGAGGCTAAAAGTCTTTATTTTCTCTTATATCCATACAAAGCCTAATCCAAGGCAGGTGTGGCCATCCGTTGTGTAACAGCAAGATAGAGGCAATGTTTTTAATTTTTAAAGTTCTTCAGATACCCTATGACCCGTGGATACATATTGGTTGGCCACATTTTCTGCTGTGTTCCTTTAAAATTTTTCCTTTTCTTTTCTAATGTATTTTTTTCCTGTTCAATCTTACATAGTCACTTAGACTTCTTCCCTTAACTGGTTCCACCTGCTCACGTTTCCTATGTATCCCTAAATTGTCCACATGACATTACAATAGATTACATGTAGATGAACCCTGAGAGTTGGGTGTTGCTGCTTTTGTTATCATGATGGTAGGAGGCATAGGGAATAGGGGATTGAGTTACAGTAATAGGGGTGACTTTGATTTTTCTACTTAAAGAAATCATTTATTTAAACTCTTGAGGCCACTTTGTCATAAATAAAGCTTATAGTTACTGTAAAGGGATGTTCTTTGAAAAGATCACAGGTAATATCGTAAGTGGTGGCCTGAGGAGGAGCGCTCAGAGGAGTTCTTCTTTTTTATCCTGTCCTAGGTCTCTTCCTGGGGAGGCTATGTGTTCTTGATCAACTTGATCCCACTCCATGTACTGGTGCTGATGCTCACAGGACGCTTCTCCCACAGGATCTATGTGGCCTACTGTACTGTTTACTGCCTGGGTACCATTCTTTCCATGCAGATCTCCTTTGTGGGTTTCCAGGTGAGCCCTAGACTGAATAGAGTTGTTAGCTTCTTCAACTTCTTTAAACAGCTCCAAGTAGCTTGATTTACCTTGGACCGTCGTGTTAACTGAAGTAACAGCATCACTGGTCATTAAAGTCTGCTTCCAGGGGTGTGTTAATATTTGCTCCATAAAGTTTGAATTTAATGACTCTTAATTTGGCTTAGGTTTGTCGGAAGGAGGGATATTTTGAGCTGAGTTGATGTGAATGCAAAGTTATTTCCAGTCCTTTTTAATGCTAATGAGTCCATTTAATAGTAATGACCCCTGAACTTCTTGATGGGATCTATGTGAAAGTCCTTTAGGAAGCAAAGTACAAACGTTTTTATTTTTTCAATTTTTTAAATATTTATTTTGGGGGAGGGGAAGAGAGAGAGAGTATGAGCACGCGAGTGGGCAAGTGTGAGCAGGGGAGGGGCAGAGAGAGGGAGACAATCTAAAGCAGGTTCCAGGCTCTAAGCTATCAGCACAGAGCCTGATGTGGGGCTCAAACTCACAAACTGTGAGATCATGACCTGAGCCTAAGTCTGCCACGTAACTGACTGAGCCACCCAGGTGCTCCTCAAAGTGCAAACTTTTAACCCCATTTCCCATAGGGTTAAGAGATAATTATAAAGTCAGAGAATAATGTGGTGTGTTTGATTTCTCATATAAAATTCTTATGGAAATGGAGGACTTATTCAGAGGTCAGCTTGTATTTTCTTTACTGATCACCTGCTATATGCAATTCGCTAATCACTGGGAAATGTAAAAATTAAAAATATGATTCTTGTCCTTAAGGAAGTTACAGTCTTGTGGGGAAGGAAGTACATGCAGCTGTCTATATTCTGTAGTATAGCAGTTCTGGAAATGTAATTCGCCGACCAGCAGCAGCATCAGGAACTTGTTAAAAATACAAATTCTGGGGACAGCTATCAGACTCTGTTGGTAGAGCATGCGACTCTTGATCTTGGGGTTGTGCGTTCAAGGCCCACGTTGGGTGTAGAGATTACAAAAATAATAATAAAGTTAAGTATTGTGAGGAACCAAATAAACCCAACAAATTTTTTTTATTCAAAAACCGCAAATTCCAGGGCTTCATCAGAGACCCACTGAATCAAACTCTAAGGGGTAGAGCTCAGCAATCTGTGTCTTAACACCCTTTCTTCTTCGCCCTCTCCATGATTGTGGTACTCACTAGAGTTTGAGAACCACTGGTCTAAGCAAAGAATTTATAAGTAATGAAAGAGCGAAAGTGCGTGGAACATAGAGGGGAGTGATGGATTTCAGTTTGGCAGATTGGGAGGAAATGGTATTTGCAAGATAGAGTAAGGTATGATTTATAGGACTCCAAATACTGTTTGGAAAATGTGGTAGGTGAAATTAGCCCCTCTCCTCCATTGGCCCTACCTAATTCCTTGGAGGCCTCAAAACTCATTTGAGCCTTTGTTTGGTCTGAACTGGGTCAGGATAATTCAGGTCTAGGTTGGACTCATTGCTTTCCAGCATTGTCATATCTATGCTTTTACCTACAGCCCGTCCTTTCGTCAGAGCACATGGCGGCTTTTGGGGTCTTTGGTCTCTGCCAGATCCATGCCTTTGTGGATTATCTGCGCAGCAAGTTGAATCCACAGCAGTTTGAAGTTCTTTTCCGAAGTGTCATCTCCCTGGTAGGCTTTGTCCTTCTCACCGTGGGAGCGCTCCTTATGCTGACAGGTAGGGAAGGCCCACAGCTTTTGTAAATGGATATGGACACATAATGAACTTCAAAAATAGGGGTTATTTCTTGACCACAGAAAGATTCATTCTTTTTCTCCTAAGAGTATAAAGTCCTACTTCTTCAATTCAGTCCACTTGTCAGCCCCAGTGTTTGGATTCTGCATAGTTAAGAATGTCTTGTTAGAGTAGCTCTTTTTTTTTTAATGTTTATTTATTTTTGACAGAAAGAGACAGAGCATGAGTGGGGGAGGGGCAGAGAGAGAGGGAGACACAGAATCCGAAGCAGGCCCCAGGCTCCGAGCTGTCAGCACAGAGCCCGACGCCGGGCTCGAACTCGCGGGGCTTGAACTCGCAGACCGCGAGATCATGACCTGAGCCGAAGTCGGACGCTCAACCGACTGAACCACCCAGGTGCCCCTAGAGTAGTTCTTAATGTTAGCAACATCACACTTTGTTGAAAGGACTGGATCTTGCCTTGCTAATTTTTCTCTCTGTTTTTTTCCTTTTCTTTCCTACTGGTAGGGTAAGAGAAATCATAACACTGCTGGCCATTCCTTACAAACATGGCCTGTCTAAGCCCATATGCACTAACTCACGGCTGTTTAGCATGCCACATTTTTTTCCTTTGTTTTTCCCATTTGTCCTTCTCAGAGGCTGATTGGATTCTGCCTAGGTCTGTCTGTGTGGTCTATTTCAGAGCAGCACTGGAGGATGTAGTAGCTTTGTTTATAGAGCTGACCTTGGTTTGGCCAGATTTGACCCTAAAACCTTCACAGGAAACACTTTTGCCTCCCATCTCTGACTTTATGTACAGCCTGACTTTATTCTGCTGGCTGGGCTGACAAAAGTACTCTCAAGTTTGAAAGCAAAGAGTGAGATTCTCAAACTATTGATGGTATTTTAACAAAAACTTAGTCCTTTTCTGTCTTAGAGACTCTTATGAAAATAGGAAATTGTGATTAATTAGGATAAGATGTTATTTTGTTTCAAGTGTGATTGTGAAATATTTGTTGCTTCTTTGCTGCCAGGAAAAATATCTCCCTGGACTGGGCGTTTCTACTCACTGCTGGATCCTTCTTATGCTAAGAACAACATCCCCATCATTGCTTCTGTGTCTGAGCATCAGCCCACGACCTGGTCCTCATACTATTTTGACCTACAGCTTCTGGTCTTCATGTTTCCAGGTCTGTCTACTTTGTGTTCTGAAGTGGCCTTCTTTGTAAGAATCACCATTTGATTCAAAATAAGTAAATTACCCTCATCCTTGTACTTTGTTGTTGTTTTTGTTTTTTGCCTCTTTACCCTATGCAGTACAAAGGATGGCTAAGCACATTTTTCTAATATTTGAAGCAGAGTAGAAGTCAGAAGTTGAACAGTTGGAGATGCTGGCAAGTTCAGAGCCTCACAGTTTTCTGTTCATTTGTATTATAAGTTAAAATTCAACTCAAATTTGTATTCAGGCTTTTGTTTTTGTTTTTGAGTACTTTCAGTGTACCTCTCTCCCATCCCCCATCCCTGACTCTTCCCCATTTATCTATCTTCTTGGCAGTACTAAAGTTTGAGAATAGGCATGGCTGGTTGTAAAGCCTCAGTTACTTACCTTCTAGCCAATCCAGAAATGTTTTTGAATTTACTGGTGGTGGGGTGTTTCCTTTTTTATTTTTTTTTTTATTTTTATTTTTTTTTAATTTTTTTTTTTTT